AGCCTGCGGCCCCGGGGCCGCCCGGGTGTGACTGGGTTGCGGGAGGATTTTTCTTTTTCTAGGTGCACTTAAGCGCCGCTGGGAAAGTTGGGTGTTTCTCCCCCCGTCTTTCTTTCTCTCCGCGAAACGTGAGGAAAATAACCCCGAGTGAAATAAATGCTCGTGGGGTGGTGGAACGGGCTGGTGAGGAGCGTTGTGGCACGGGATGGGATTTGGCAGTGGAGTGGACCGACCACGCTGGCAGAACTTCAGTCCAGCACATCACATGAGATGGGAGAGGAAACCTGACCTTGGATTTATAAAAAGTCTTTCTTTCTCTCCGCGAAACGTGAGGAAAATAACCCCGAGTGAAATAAATGCTCGTGGGGTGGTGGAACGGGCTGGTGAGGAGCGTTGTGGCACGGGATGGGATTTGGCAGTGGAGTGGACCGACCACGCTGGCAGAACTTCAGTCCAGCACATCACATGAGATGGGAGAGGAAACCTGACCTTGGATTTATAAAAAGAAACTGGGATAAAAGGGGACTGATGGAGTGCCAGAAGTTGCTGTCCAGAGAGGCTTGGGAGGAAGTGGGAATTAAAGGTAGATTGGTTCGGTTAGGAACGGCCGGGTTGCTAAGTGGTTGTATTGTCCATGAAGTTGAAAAGAGAAACTTTACTCAGATGTGTGATTTTTCCACTGTTTTGTTTTTTTTTTTTTTAATATCTTCTTAACGTGGGCTTGGGATATTCGGGACAAGCTAGGCTGTGCATCTTTTTATTTTTTTGCTTCTTCTGGAGTTGCTACTTCATTCCACTCACTGGTTCCTGAGTGGCTGTGCTAAAGTCTTTGTTCTCCCGATTATCATATTTGTAGCTACAGGAAATCGGAAGGGAATGCAGAGAGTTCACTGGAAGAAAGTAAATTAGCATAGCGTTCAGTTATTATTTAACATGGTGAAGGAGGCTTGACAAACCCTTTGTAGCTGTGCTGTCATGGTGAAGAGCATCAACATTTCAAGCATAAATGGTCTGAGATGAAAACAATACGTTTTGGTGAAGCGTTCATCCTAGCTGGTCCTTCCCACTGACTTTCAGGAAATTTGTGGTACTTTGAACTAACTATGAAGAGGAACGTAATGGTGTTGTGTAATGATACTGGGGCTGATCAGCATGGGTGGTTGAAGGCATCTGAGTTTCCTGATGTGATTTTACACAATTTGTGAGGCGAGTGTGGCAATTCTTATCGAGAGTTAGATGCTTGGCCATGTCTGATTGCAGTATGGTTGAAGATAGAAATGTAATTTTAACAGCTACCTGATGCGATCAGCTTTTGACTGGTTGTTAGTCTTTTATTTTCCAACACCTCAATTTGCTGTGTCATACGGGCTCCAGCGTACCCCGTGGCGGTGGTCTCTTACATCTTCTGGCCAGTGGGACCTGGTGTCCAGAGCTCTTGCGGTGTTGGTGACACGAAGGTTTGTTAACGTGGCAGTTTCACAATACTGACCCGAGATGGTTGAAGAAGGAAAAGTAAACTCATTCTAGAGGCACACTAACTTGTGACAAATTTCTCTCAGTGTGGGTTGAGCTGATTAGGTTCGTTGAAGGTTGAGCTTTAAAGCCGTTTTTATGTCAAAGTTGTGTCTATGTTGTGGTCTGCAACAGCTTTCAGTGGATTGAAAATCTCATTTAATTTGAACAGACAATTTCAGGCTTTAGTTTCTAGGTAAGACCTGGAGTAAAAAAATCTGTTTCCAGTTTGAGAGGCAGGAGTTGAGGTACCTGCCTGTGCTAATTGTGCCTCGCCATTTCCATGGGTCTGTTACAGAGGCCACACGTGAAGCTCTGGAAAACTTTTTGTGCATCAGGGCGATAGAGGCTCGCATGTGAGCACCGTTTTCTCGCTCGAGCTTTGGTCACTTGTTGGTGTTTGGCCTTGTCTCTGGTCTCCCCAGTAAAATCAGGTGGTGTGTTGTACTCTTCTGTGGCACGTGAAGGAGCGCTAATTGCTTTGTCAGTGATGGAGCATGGGTTGTAGGTTGGTTTCCTCGAGTATGTGCACATGTGTGCTTTTTTGTAAGTGAGCCACAGAAATAGCAAAGCAATGAATTACAGTTTTGGCCTCCTGAGGACATCACACGGCCTTTCAAACACCGTATTTATGTCTGGGATCTATGTATTTAATGCAGAGCTGAAACTGCATCCTGTGTTCTCATCTGTTACGTACCTGCTGCAGTAGCTGGTCGTG